AGAAATAACACACAGAATGCACCCAAGCATGTCCTCCTGCACATGATACTTAGACTGATCCCTTATTTCCTATTTTACTAATTTATTAGGTGAACTCATGAGACCTCTCGAAAAAAAAAAATCGGATTTGGTTTGCGAACAGAATTGTCCCCGGACCAACAACGCTTAAAACCACCAAGCCAAGGTGCAATAATTGGCCAACGCACGGGCTGTCCGTACGACGATGCGTTTTTTGCATAGTTCCCGCAGTTTTTGTCGCTACCGGCATCGGTTTTTTCGGCAGATCCTTTTAGCTAAACAAATTAAGACTGGCCGCCAAAACTGGCAGAAAATACCCCTTTAAAACTTCAGTTTTCTAGCTTTCCTGGCTCCTGGGTTAGCAATTTACTGGAAAAAACCCTTCAAAAGCCCGCACGCGGGTACCACGCATACCCAATTCCTTGGTTTGAGCTCGTTGACACTTACTTTTACGGGAAACATTTTCCCAAACTACAGTCTCTTAGCTTTTCAGGTTCTCGGGTTATGAGCTTACCAGAGAAAAACTTTGGTGAACCCGTGCGTAGGTACCACGCATGACCGACGGCTAGGTTTGAGCTCGTTGAGCCTAATAAGGAGAACACCCTTTTAATATTACAGTCTTCTAGCATCTCAGACCCCCAAGTTATGAACTCACCCGGGGAAAATTTTGGCGGGGCTGTACGCGGGTACCTCGTTTAGCTCAAACCTGGGAGTTGGGTTTGAGCTCATTAGTACCCACTTGGACGGCGAACATTTCTAACATTTCTAACTCTAACTTTTCTGGTCCGCGAGTTAGCAGCTTACTCGTAAAAGACTTTGGCGGGCTCTTACGTGAGTGCCACGCGGGAAAGACCGCCCATTTTGGGAGTGGGAGCCCGTACGTGCATGTAGATTAAGTCCCCAAAGTTTCAGCCCTGTAGCTTTTGTGGGTGTGGAGATAAAAAATTGGTACAGACGCGCAGCGCACACATAGACAGACACAAACACACACAAACAGAAAACCTCTCGTCAATATGCGTTTTTCGCATTGCATAACTGCAAAAAACGCATAAAAAGCAATTGTGCCAAGCGCTTCCAGTTTTAGTCTGTACAGGTGTCATTAGCAGACTAAAAATTTGGGCGGGCAGTGCAAAAACTCGCCAAAAGAAAATTAAATACAGATAAGAAGGGTGTTGAATAACGTGACGACGAAGCACGGCCTTACTGAAGATAAACTGCCACTAAGACATCAAAAAAGGGGACGGCGGGGTAGCACTGTTATCACGCGGTAAGAGGAAGGCTCAGCTCCGCCAGTGTAGCAAGCAATTCCTCTACGAGTCGTCCGTCTGCACTAGCACCTCCCCGGGAGTCAGTTAAGAGCCCACCTAATAGCAGTTACTACGGGGAGCCGCCGAACGGCTCCCTCGTGGCCCATCTGAATGGGCGATTTTTGTTTACCGACGGCCGCAGAGCGATGCCGTTCTCACAGCTCGCCTGCGGAAAAACAACATTTGTCTGCGCGAGGATGGAAATACAAAAGGAGAAATGATTTATGGCTGGAAAAGGATCTTGGCCGTGGATCATTCCTTTTAATTTAAATTTGAAAATTCTTTCGTTTATTAACGGTCCGGGCTTCCGCAGCACTGGTTCCTCAGCCGCTGAGCAAGGAGGAGAAGGGAGAGGGAGAGGGGGCTCCCGATAAATAGATAACCACCAAAAGAACCTGCGTTTAAGAAACCAGAAGCAATATACTTCTCTTTTTACTCTCCGAAGTATTGGGTTACTCGGAACTTTCTCATTAAAATCAGACCTTACGTGATAGCTCTGAAGCGGACTCTCCTCCCTTGCCCTCACTGACCCATCCCGCCTTCCACAGTCCTCTCACTTTTTCATAATTCCCCCATTCAAATGTAGCGAATGCACCCGATTCAGATTTCTTGCACGTCCTTTCTATGCGTTTTTTGCAGCTATGCAATGCAGATAATTGGCCAACGCACGGGCTGCCCGTGCGAAGATGCGCCTTTTGCATGGTTCCCCGTAGTTTGTGTTGCTACCGGCACCGGTTTTTTCGGCAAATGCTTCCAGCTAAACAAATTAAGACTGGCCACCAGACCTGTCAGAAAACATTCCCTTTAAAATTTCAACTTCCTAGCTTCCCTGGCACCTGAGTTACCAACTTACTGAAACAAAATTTTCACGGGCCCGTGCATGTTTACTAAGTCATACCTGAGAGCTGGATTCGAGCGGAATGAAACTTAGGTGGACGGGGTATATCCTCTTAAAATTGCATTCTTTTAGTTTCTCAGGTACTTTAGTTATCAATTCACACGAAAAAAAATTTGGAGCGCCCGTATGTGGGTACTACGCCTACCCGGAGGCTGGGTTTGAGCCCACTAATACTCACTTGGGCGGGGAACATTCCCCCAAGACTTCAGCCTCCTAGCTTCCCGGATCCCCGAGTTATGAAATTGAGCGGGAAAAGTTTCGGGGAGCCCGTACGCGAGTACCATGCTTACCCGGGGGCTGGGCCCACTAATACCCATTTGGGCGGGGAACATTCCCCCCAGATTTCAGCTTCCTAGCATATAAGAACCCCGAGTTATGAATTTGCGCGGGAAAAATTTTGGGAGGTCCGTACGCGGGTACCATGCTTACCCAGAGGCTGGATTTGAGCCCACTAATAGCCGCCTGGACGGAGAACATTTCCCCAAGATTTCAGCCTTCTAGCTTCTCAGATCCCCGAGTTACGAACTTACCCGAAAAAAATTTTGGCGAGCTCGTAGGGGGTACCATGCTTACCCGGAGGCTGGTTTTAAGCCCACTAATATCCGCTTGGGCGGGGAACACTACCCCAAGATTTCAGCCTTCTAGCTTCTCAGAT